GTCATTTTCCAGCAGGACAATGCTAGGCCGCACACGTCTTTGTCCGCTCGGCAAAAATTGATGGATATTGGTTGGGAATTGATGTTACACCCACCATACAGCCCTGATCTCGCGCCATCGGATTATCACTTATTTCGATCCCTGGACAACTCCCTTCGCGGTAAAACTTTTAACGACGATGACGCTGTAAAATCTCACTTAACTCAGTTTTCGGCCGAAAAGGATCAGACTTTCTACGAGCGTGGAATTTTCATGTTGTCGGAGAGATGGCGAAAGGTCGTCGAACAAAATGGAAAATACATTACGGATTGAACTTCGTTCCAAGTAAAAAGAAATTTGTTATTTCACTGAACAAATCGGCAATTACTTAGTTGCCAACGCAATAGTACCGTTGAATCATCGTTTTGCTTACGATTTGCTGTTTAGGATTGGCCCAGTACAATTTCCTCGATATCCAATCGACGGCGACGCTTCCCACCGAGTGAATGTTCATCTTTGTTTTCCGATGGCTGGTGATGTTGTATCGATACAGGGCGGTGTTGTTGCCCACGATGTAGAGAACGTCCTTGTACCAGCTCACGTCGACGATGTGGTAATCGGTCTCCGCTTCCTTGAGGCTCGCCTTGTAGATCAGGGTGTCGATGTTCTCGCCGGTTACGTCGCTCCTCAGCAAGCCCTCGTTCGCCGACCAGAGAATAGACGCGTGCGAACCGTCCCTATGAAAACGACCGGTTCGAAATTGAAGAGAAACGCCGATAAAAATAACCGATCACGGATAAAAATATGTTTACTGTTACGAAATTGTAATGCAAAGAATACCGTAACGTTCGGCCTCTAAACTCGGTGGACCACGGTCCTCTACCAGCGCTCGTGTAAGCGGCCGCTTTGATCGAATACTCCGATTTCTCGCGTAGATCGTGCACGGTATGAGACGAGCCGGCGATATCCTTCTGATGTATCGTCTCCCCGGTAGACTCGTCTTTGATCTCGAGTTCGTACGACCAATTCTGCCAGGCACCCTTACCTTGGCCACCCAACAGATGGGGCGCCTGCCAAGAAACTTTCGCTCTTTCCACTCCTAGAACTGCCTGCACTCCCGTAGGAGGGTTCACCGGGACAGGAACAGGCTGGCTCGCGTCCATAAGTACATTGACGCTGACGAATGAACCGTTCGACCTGAAACCGACATTCGTTATTGAGCAATCCGGCACGAGCAGACTACAGTATATTCTCCCTAATTGACGCTCGGATTGTACAGAAATATGGACGATTTGGAGGAGAGGAGATACGATTGTAAATATTGTTACAAAATAATTATTATAAATTATATATATATATATATATATATATATATATTATATATTATATTATTATTATTATATTATATATTATATATATTATTTAATATATAATTATATATGTAATAATAATAATAATATAATATATAATATAATAATATATATAATTATTATTATATTATTATATTATATATTATATATATTATTTAATATATAATTATATATGTAATAATAATAATAATATAATATATAATATAATAATATATATAATTATTATTATATTATTATATTATATATTATATATATTATTTAATATATAATTATATATGTAATAATAATAATAATAATATAATATATAATATAATAATATAATAATAATTATATATATTATTTAATAATATTATATTATATATTATTATATTATTATATTATATATAAAATATATTTATATTATATAAAATTATATATTTATAAGATCGTAAAATGACCTTGCGGCTCGTTTTTATACTTACCGATTGTCAACAGGTATAAAAACGAGCCGCAATGCTCGACTAATCTATTCTTTCAAAATTCTCTATTTTTGTGCACAATCTGAGCGTCGATTAGGGAGAATTTGCTGTACTTTGCATCCAGGATGCGCGCAGCGTCTCAACGGGGACAGTCACCTGTCAGGATAAGCATTATGGAAGTATCTGTTCTGCCCGGAATGATATCCCTCGATCAAAACTTGCTCCCCGTTTGTCCAATAAAACAGGCCGTTCGCCATGGCCAAGGAGACGACGTTCTTAAACTTTGGTTGCTGCGTGTTCTTCCGCAGATTTATAACTTCACGGCCGTCCAAGGAAACCGACAGGATTGTGTTCTGAATGTGGTGTGGCACCAGCAAGCGAAAGTTCGTGTGGTCGACAGTGAACGCGCCTAAGTTTGTATCGTCCACGATCAAATACGGTTGAACCTGTAGCCGATAAAGGGGGATATATACGATATTGGGGGATATACGATAATATCTGATACGATCTTATCAGCAGCAGTTTGCAAAATAATTCTTCGTGCGAGTTTACTGTATAATTCTGCCGTTTATGCTGTAAACCAGGGGTGTCAAACTCGCGGCCCGCGGGCCGCATGCGGCCCAAGATGAACATCTTTACGAGAGATGTCAAGTATCGTAAACAATAATGTAACTTTATATATGTTTATTACAATGTGCTGGTCAAAATAAAAATATTTGTTTCTATGAACATTGATTTCTTTTTTTGCGGCCCACCTAAAGTTAAGCATTGTTTATTTGGCCCAAGTTAGCTTTTGAGTTTGACAGCCCTGTTGTAAACGGAACGCTTCTCCGAAACTGTTTTGTTATTCGCATGTTTCATATACACTCGTACACGAAAGTATTCGAACGCTCACGTTTCGTCGTATATTTCGCGGTTCTAATTCTGCGTGTTCCAAGAAAGAAAGCCATTTTGTTAGCAAGAAAAATAAGATTGTACGTTTAATATATTCGCCGAAAAATTTATTTATGAAAATAATTCATTCTGGGACAAAGTATTGTTCTCTGACGAGAGTGAATTTAACGTTTTTGGTAGCGATGGAAGTAAAAGTGTTCGGAGGAAAAAGACCACAGAATTAGAACCGCAAAATCTACGACTGACTATAAAACATAATGATGGATCTGTATTAGTTTGGGGCTGCATGGCATCTGGTGGAGTGGGAAACCTTGTGTTCGTCGATGAGATAATGGATAAAACGAAATACTTAAAAATCTTGCAGGAAAATTTCAAAAGCAGTGTATCAAAATTGAATTTACCTAGCGATTATTGGTTTCGGTCTGACAATGATCCGAAAGCATACCGCTAAAATAGTCAGAGATGATATTTTTCTATTCACGATTAGGTGTAAAGAAATTTAACCCTTTGCACTCGAAGCTATTTCAATTATATTTTAAACATATTTTCTGATCTACGGTGCTTCTATTTTATATGATTTATTGCGATTTATGCACATGAAAGCTTATTGGCAAGTACAAAACTTGCA